TGAATTACATGATACTTTCAAAATGCCCTTTAGTTCTGCTTGTTTATTGACTTGGTAATGTTTTCAAATTGAATAAAATTAAAATTGAAGATTTCCTCAATAATATACTTTCCTTAAATTAATATTATTGTGTGTTTTATACCTCAGAAATAATCCTTTTATAATGAACTCATGATTATCTTCTGAGAGAGGATATAGTGAAAAATATTTCCTGCTGGTACATTTTGAATTGACAGTGACTCAATTAAGCTTTTATGGCCAAAAACATAATCTTTATTTACTTGAACCCAGCAGGAAGTGATGAAATTTTCAGTGCAAACACTCAGTGAATTAAATTTTTCTTCTTGGAGAAGGTATGAACTGGCAACCAAGTGACAAAGTTAACCAAGTGATAAAATAATAAGGTGATAAAGTAAGAAGGCAACCTGAATTAATTTGAGATTTTCAAATTCCCCAAGTCATGTTTAAACATGATGATTTATTATTTTGTTAAAAGTTGTGATTATCCAGAACATCAGACATATTAATAATTGATTTATATACAAATGCAAAATCTTTTTATAAGTTACACATTTTGTTTTTTAATGAATATTTATTAAGTGACTCTATTTTTGGCACTGTTTAGATGCTCAGGAGTAGTAATGAACAATACAAGCAAGGTCCCCATTTATGGGAGTTAGAAAACATTCTAATGGAGTTAGAAAACAAACAAAATAACCAAAATGAGATATTTCATAGGAAGTTTTTCTATATTTTGGATTTTCAAATAAAGTCACTAACCTGAGAATCATATGTAATTCTTTTTCCATGTTCTGAAAAGCATGCTACAATTTATCTAAGAGTCATTAGGGAACATTAGAGTATTTCTAGCTGATATAACAAATAAACCCCAGGTTTTCAATAGTTTGATATAATAAAAGATTTAATAATTTAAGAATCATATATATATATATATATATATATATATATATATATATATATATATTCCTGATTGGTTGGTAGCATCCTCCATGTTGTGATTCAGGGAGCCAAGCTTCTTCCATCTTGTGATTCCTTCATTCTTTAGGGACTCAGAGATTCCTACATATAGTTGGAGGAAGAAAACTAAGAGAAGAGAATTTCCACCAGGTTTTTAATTGTCTTGGTCTATAGGTGACACTTCACTTCAGTTCACACACCATTGAAGAAAAGTAGTAACACAGGTATAGCATAGTGCAAGAGGGTTTGGGACATCTAATCTCTGGTTGGACAGTTGCTTCCCAGTGTTATCTTCATTCTGTGAAGGGGGAGCACAGAAATTTAGTGGAAAGATGATGTTTCTGGCATATCAAGGGAGGTGAGAAATCTTTTAGACTATTACCCATTTCTGGAAAATATATGTGATGGTCAGAACACAACAGTGGGAGTATTTTTCAGAAAGAAGATACTAAAAATTTAATGTTGCCTGACTTTTTGGAGATTTCCTGTAAACAGAAAGGACCACAAAGGGAAGAACAATTGTTAGAATAAAAGGAAAATGCACTTCCACTCCCATAAGATAAGACCTCATGGATCAAAGTTTATTTGAATCAATGGAAGGTGGCTGGGCCTGGGCTTGTGTGAAAGGACCTAGCCTAATGATACATTCTATTAGTGTGGGAAATCCCAGGAGAAAGAGTTCACAGAGTAATTCAAAATGAAAGAGAAGAGGAACCTACCAAGTCAATTGGAGAAGATCAACCAGCAAAAATGAATGGCCTCTGTTCTTTTGCCTCTCATCCAATATACATCCTGTAATGTGAAGCAGCCATATTAGAATGATGATTGCAGGAAAGAAAGTGAGAATAAAAGGCTTGAAAATAGCAGGTCATATATACCTTCTCCCCACAAATGATCTGAAAAATTACTAGGTAGTCTTGAGGATTAGAATGGTGTGCCAGAGAAGAAAGATCAGGAAAAGCATTCAATAGGGTAAGAGATGAAAGTAATGATTGAATTTGGGTTTTTAAAAATACCTCAAAATGGAACCTTTTCACACTAGCAAACATCCCTGAGAAAACAACAGGGGGTGAAGGAATCCAAAGATCCTTTGTTAACTTTGAGAGTAGTCATGGAAGAAACTTGTCAGGTTTCACACCACCATTCAGTGTACCCATTACTGTTACAAGAAATGAATGAGATAAATCTAGATGGTGATAATTCTATGAACAAAAATAGTCTGAGGTGACATTGAGGGTGGCTTGAAGACTAGGGCAGTGTACCTGGGAAGAGAGAATAGTAAATGCACAAATACAAAATGAGCTTGGTAGGAAGGGACCTAGCAGGGAGAAGAAAAGAGCCTTGTGAGACTGGATTTTGAACAAAAAATATGTGAGGAGATGACTTGTGATCAGGTTGTCCTTGCTGCCAAATCTAGTGACTCAAAGAGCAAGATGAGAGATTTTAGTTCATATGCAGTTTAGCCACTAGAAGATACAGAAAGGGAAATAAACTGACATAAATTATGTTTCTAAACTTCTCAAAATGTTTCTTATATTGTAAGAAAATAATATATATGTAAATAAAATTTAAATGCTGAAAATATCTTACATTTGTTTTTAAATATACACATGCATTCATATTTCCTCAGAAAAGGTTTATAATGAAAAATTCAATATACCTGTTCACACATATTTTAAAATAGTATTTCATTATTATGTATTTGAATTTTTCATCATTCTAAATTCCAACATCTTGTGCATGTTCTTTCTGTTTTAAAATATTGATTTCTATTCCACAGGATTAAATATGCATATTTTAGTCATTTAATAAAGGAACTTGAGAAATGGAAGCAATTTTTAAAACAGCAATTATGTTGGCTAAAATGTTCCTAAAGTACAAGAAAGAGAAAAATATTGGATACCTTATAAAAGAACACTCTCTATTGAACCTAAAAGAACCCATGTGAAGATGAAAGACAGCTTTAGAAGTCCCCATGTGCAGTCATTACTATTTTACTTGAGTTTCAAAACAAATCAGTCAAAACTGAAATATGGTTTTTAATTCCAAACATAAATTAACCTTAGAAGCTACTCATCAAAGTAGAGGAATATGTCATTGGCAAGACAGATAATAGCGAAATATTTCAAATTTTTTAATAAAGTGTTCACATAAATTCACCTGACTCTGTACTTCTCATTGAGAAAGAGTTATTTATTATAAAATTGAATTGAGGATATGGCAAGCCACTTTAAACAACACTTAACCATTTTTTCAGATGCAATTATTTTTATGTTTTATTGTTTATTTATTTAGGATGATTATGCATTTATGAAATTATATAGATAACAAAGCAAAGTGTTCCAAAAATAAACATAAATTTTGTTCACCTCATAAAATAACAATGACAAATTTCCTTCCTTTAAGTTATTAATCACATCAAATATTTTAAAAATATCTAATTTTATAACATTAAGAAATATTTATAGTTAAAAAATTAATCTTGTCTAAGTTTTTTCACAATGGTTTGTCAGGTGGATATCTACAATACAAATTATTCGTATCATACCACCTTTTTAAAGTGTCATTTATGTGATTTTTATCTGTTTCAGCTTGGAAGAAAATGATATTCGAACCTTATGAAAATTCAAAATATTATTATACTCTAGTTTAAAGCATTTTCGACCATTATTAGAAATATATTGGATTTATAGGAACTTAAAACTTTTGATTATAATGAAACATTTGTTTCTGATGCATCTATTGCTGTTTTTGAGACTCCAGAGAATTTAATTTCAGAGCTTCTCAAGAGATTGCAGTACCCACAGTTCTAAGCATTCAGTGATTACTGTCTGAAAGCTGCTCTCTAAAAGATTTTGAGGGTGTTGTCTAGACCTACTGAATAAGAATGAAGTGGTCAGTTAGTGATATTTGTCATGGATGTGGCAAGGATGCTAAGGAGAAATTATAATATAAGTGCCTCATAGTTGCCATTCCCTGTTCCTACTCTTTAGATCCAAACAACATTAGAATGTTATATCCTCTTTGTAACATGAGGGCTTGCTCCTGTTGGGTTGATGGGTTGTAGATAATAGAGAAAATCATAGCTTTGCAGTGGTTTTGCTTTATTTTCTGTTCAAGGCTTATATGTGATAAGACCTAGACAGTTCTATATCCCAGTATTTTATTCCTCCTTAGACCAGGGTCTAAATATCTAATGCATATAGGTCTCAAAATGTGAGTCTGTCAAATCTAGCCTTATTTTTTTAAGAATTAGAATGTAATAAAACAAAGTATCAGAGAGCATCACATATAGTAAGAACAGGGATTATTTTGTAAAACGTTTGTGATGTGTGTAGATACAAAGGATTGTACTGAAAATTGAATTATTCTGGGTTATGATTAAACAGGTTGAAAATCAGGGGCTTAGATTCTAGTATTTTTCCTTCTGTGAAAGATCTGTAGCATTTTTCCTGAACTGAAAATGATCTTCACTGAAAAATATCTGAGTAGCAGTCCAGGATAAATGTTTAGGCCAAAATGTTTCATTTTAGTTTTCTATCTTAAGCCCTAGGAAAAGTTTCTACCCAAATTTCCTTCCTTTAGGTTTTTGTGAGTTTGATCCTTGGAAACATCCTAGGAGTCTAAGTCTGATAATAGTTTTACAAAATATGTGAGATTGCCTAGAAAATGAGTGAACTCTAACATAATCAAGTTACTGCCAAAGGAAACACTGAAAAATCGACCTCATAGTAATAATAATACTGGTAGAAAAATATTTTAAATATAATTTTATAAATAGTTGTCTTACCATTTAGCCACATGGATCTCTTTGCACTGTTTGCTGTTAAAAATATTAATCCTACTGTTTACCAAGATTAATAAAGAAAGATGTACAAGAAATTAAAAATGAATAAGATATATTCAATTGTGGATCAAGAATAAAATATAACAAATGGACTCCTATAATAGTTTTCTTTACATTTGCTTTCATAGAACAATGACTATGCTGACACTTAAAGCTGATTGTTTTGCATTTCTAGGAGACTGTTTGCATTGAAATACCTATCTCTAATCCAAAAGAAAAAATTATCCACATAGATGTGAAATTAACAAATGATGCCCTTAGTGGACTCCAGGAACTCACACTGAATCCATTAGAGTGTGTTAACTATATTGTCTTGTATTCTCCAGCAACAACAGGCTATAAAGAAGAAAGGTATGACATGAATATACCATTATTGTTTATTATTGACCCTTTGAAAATAAGCTTTTAAAATTCTTTCATTACATGCTTTAATACTATTTCCCGATTAAAAGGTGCTAATTTGGAGTGAGCTTTTGTTTACTTCAGTGTGAAATTATTATTTATTGGTATATTAAGTTAAATAATTCCTAAATTTCTCCTTTGACCCTCTATTACACTTTTTAGTAACCAGATCATTCTGAGTGCAGTAACTGAACCAAATGAAACTTATTTCATGAGGACTAGGGACTAAACTTTCAATTTCCTTGAGGAAAATTACTCTTTATATTTTTTCCCAATTAAGTGAAATTGATTCACTTGGAGAACAGAGATAAAGTTAAATTAATGTTGTTATACTATAGTGAAAATGTACACATACATACACAAATACTACTAGTATAATGATTATTGTTCTTATAGAATGATAATTGTGAAAAACTTTTGAATTATATATTCATATATGTCAACACACAAAAATATAATTATCTCAAAAATGTACTGAAACAATCAACTTTACTTGTTTCAATAGTAATATCCAGGTTACTTATTACAGTTTTCAACTTTGTAATTGACTTAGTATTTGTGTTTAATGTATTCCATTATTATATTCCATGAAATATATTCCATGAAGTATATTCCATGAAGTGCTTTTTTGAGGATAATTCATTTTGTGATTAATTCATTAACTTATCTTAATAAATAAAAATTGGATATATTTATGGTATACAATGCAATGATTTGAAATATGTATATACTGTTTAATGATTAAATCAAGTTGAATGACATGTGCCTTACCTCCTCACATGCTCATCATCTGAGAATACTTAAAATGTACTCTCTCTGCAGTTGTCAAGTATACAATATTGTTATTAACTATAGTCATCTTGTCATAAAATAGATGAACTTAGTCTTCTAGTCTAAGTGAAATATCATTATCCTTTAACCAAATCCCCCCACCAACCATTCCGTCCTAGTCTCCTGCAACTACCATTCTACTCTCTGCTTGTGAGTTTGAGTTTTTCAGATTTACATATAAGTGAGATCATGTGGTATTTGTATTTCTGTGCCTGGCTTATTTCACTTAATATAATACAATCCAAGATAAATTATTGCTGCTTCTAGCACAATATCCTTTAATAGGAATTAAGTAATTGTTATTTTAATACACAGGTGAATAGATGAATATATTTGAGAAATTTTAAAGGATAAAGATTAGAATGTAAAACAGGAAAAGAAGAACTTAGCATATTAGAAAAGATGTTATTTTAATAGATTCCCTTAAGAAATGTTGGCTCATCCCATCTCTGCCATGTGACTGTATAGGCTTTGTGAGCACAGAATGAATCTTGGATTTTTAAAATCAGTATATATTAAAAGGCACAACCTGGGCTAATGCTTATTGACTGCCTACCTTATTATTATCATTGCAGCATATATTTTACATAATAAACACATAAAATTCTCATAACAACTCTAAGAGGTAGAACTGATTCCTTCCATTTTATATATGATGAAATTGAAGCTCAAAAAGCAAATGACTTGTTTGAAGTTATACAAATTAAAAATGACGGAGCTGACATATCAGTTATACTTTTAGACTACCACAAGCTCTGTTTCCCCAGAGCTGAGCACATAATAAAGGAAGCTCTTAAAAAACACATGTCACTTGATAGCCTTCCCATGAAAGTACATTTGCATTCACTTCAACAAACTAAATTTGGTTCAGTGATGGTTAAAAAATGGACTTTAGCTCTTATTGATCCTGCACAACGTTGAAAATACTCATATATAAACATTTTCCACTAATTGAACAAACATCTATTAAATAGATATTAATGATATCATTATTTTTCTTGAATAATGACGTGATTTACTCACCAAATAGTAAAAAGTTTAAAAATATATTCACAATAACAGTAGAGTACATCACGGAGTACTTGTCAAATATTATGTTTGATACCAACTATTTCTACCAAATTGAGATATTTTATTTTTCTTGCCAAGCCTATTACACAATCTAAAACCACTGACAGGAATTTTTTCATATTAATGCATTACAATTAAACGTAATAGTGGAATTCATTATGCCATATTCAAATATTCACACAACATAATTTGATCAATCTTGTTCCCCCCACTTTCTCCTCCCTCCTCTCCTTCCTTTCCTGATCCCTTTCCTCTACTCTACTGATCTGCCTTCTATTATTGTTATTTTATTTTGGATACCAGGGATTGAACTCAGGGGCACTCGACCACTAAGCCACATCCCCAGCCCTATTTTATATTTTATTTAGAGACAGGGTCTCACTGATTGGCTTAGCATCTGATTTTTGCTGAGGCTTTGAACTTGAGATCCTCCTGCTGCTGGGATTACAGGCAGGTGTTATTTTAATTAGTGCATTATAATTATATAGATTTATGATTTATTGTAGTATATTCATACATAGACATAGCATAATTTGGTAGATGTCATTCACCATTACTTTCCCATATCCTCCCCTTGTCCCTTCCTCTCTATCCTCTTTCTCTACTCTATTGGTCTTCCTTCCATTTTACTAACAGTATTTTGTATATTTTTACCAGCATTATTTTCCAGCCTGAAATGGGGGAAGAGTTCTGGTATTTACTGAAATTAACTACTGAACTTCCAAAAACAAACACAATACCAGAAATACAATGTGACCTTGGAAAGTAAGTTCTCTTTAACAGAAAGATTATTTATATTAAAAAATTATATACAACATCACTGTTTTAATGAATTTAATCTTTTTTAACAATACTTTTTTTTAACAGACCTCAGGCATGTTAGGCAAGCACTTTACCTCTGAGCTACAACCCTAGCCTTAATATGTTAAAATAAGAACTAAATTTATTTCTAGTAGAAAACTTGTAAAAAAACATCAGGGCTTAGTAAGTAAAGACTTTTGTTCAAAAGGATTATTGCAAAGGAGGGAAAGGGATGATTCCAATAGAAAGAATGCTTCAGAAATCTGAAAGGGCCACAAAATCAAATTGAAAAGAGATTGTACTCTTATAGAGTAAAGGAAGAGGAAAGCAGATATAAACAGAATCTTTTGGAGGGAATGCTAGACAAACAAGGGGAAATGGTCAGTGGGGTCTAATAGGAAAAGTGTCTCACCACGATAAATTGATTCACACAGGCTGAGAGAGGAAGCATGTTCGTGTGTGTGTGTGTGTGTGTGTGTGTGTGTGTGTGACACACACTTGCTTACACTTGGAAATAAGCAGAGTTCAGGGGCTTATAGGAAAGAGGGAAGCCTGATGAAAGTTTATTTAACTCAAAGCAGAGGATAGGCAATGGGCAACTGTGAACACTTGATCATTTGGTTAATAGCATGTTCCCTTGACATATGACCATTCATATTTATGTGATCAGGTTCCTATTACATGTCTGGCACCAAATTTGGTGCTGGTAAACAAGTCATAATAAACTTTTTAAAAGTATATACTCTAGTAGGCAAATCGGTGCCTTTTAGTTGATTTCTCTCCCACAGCACATCAAAAGTGTTGAATTCTTCCAGTACCAGATCTTGAATCAAAATATCACTACGAGTGATTCATTAAGGAAGTGATTTGAGAGAAATCAGTAGGAGAATAGAGAAAAAAGGATAAGAAAGGAGAAGAAGCTAAGTGTGAATGTAATTGCATATATAGTCCCTGACTGCCTGATTCTGAAGAGAGACAGAGAGAGGGGAGAGAGAGAGAGAGAGAGATATCTGGACCCTAGTTCTAAAGACACAGTTTGCCATGCCTTGAAGCAAAGGAACTGGTTATTGTTGTTTGGGGCTTTTTTTGTAGTCTGATCCCTATTCTACTTTTTATTTGGTAGATAGTAATTATGTATATTTATGGGGTATAAATGTGATTCTTGTACACTGTGAAATGATCAAATAAGGCTAAATAGCATATCTACCACCTCAAATTGTGAGAACATTTAAAAATTTTTAGCTATTTTGAGATATACAATACATAACTGTATTGTATTGTGGGCTTTTGAACTCCTAAACTAGTCACTACAAGCATTCTTTGGAATGACACATAAACTCCCAGGCATGTCTGCTTTCTGTAGTGTTGAGGGGGTTCCTGGATCCATGAAAAATCATCTAAAGGACTTAGATGAGAGATTAACAGCAAGCATGCAGAAAAATAGGATGAGGGCAGATAACTGGTAAAAAAAATAATAATAATAATCTACTAGGGTAGCTGAGTGTGGGACACCAGCATGTCTGATTCAACAAGTTATTTACAAATTAAATCCTAGTTATATACATATTTCTAATTTTAAAATGTTAATATATAATAACCATATATAAATGTTATTAACAAATATAAAACAATTATGTGAAAATTCGACTCACTTTTCTCATTTTTTCATTCTAGTAAAAAGTGCTAGAATTTTTCTTTTAAAGTTCTCTAGTTATTTTTAAGCACATTTTTCTAAAATTTATTTTTTTATGAAAGTCATACTTATCTATGATTAAAAGGCCAATAATCATAATACTAAAAAGGTGTTTGATAATAACTATCTTTTAACCAGCTCATCCTGTATCCTTATCCTTTTTGGAAGTTTGTAAGATCTTTTCATCCGGTATCCTTACCTTAAAATTCTTAATGATATGTCTTGCCATGACTCTATTTTGGTATATTTTTCTAGATAACTAGAGACTGCTGGTTTTTAAATTTATTTATTTGTTTGTTTTGTTTTTGGTACTGGGATCCTGGAGATTCACCCAGGAGCACTCTATCACTAAGCTATATCCCCAGCCCTTTTTCTTTTTCTTTTTTGATACTGGGAATTGAACTCAGGAGCACTCAACCACTGAGCCACATCCCCAGCCTTATTTTGTATTTTATTTAGAGACAGGATCTCATTGATGCTTAGTGCGTCACTAAGTTGATGAGGCTGGCTTTGAACTCAGAGATCCTCCTGCCTCAGGCTCTGGAGCTGTTGGGATTACAGATGTGCGCCACTGCACCTGGCTATTATTTCTTATTTTAGACAGGTTCCCATTAAATTGGTGAGGTTGGCCTTGAACCTGAAATCCCCCTGCCTCAGTCTCCTGAATCACTGGGATTGTAGGCATAAGCCACTGTGCCCAATTTGGATATCTCTATTTTTTTTTTTGTCAATATTTTTTTAGTCGTCAATGGACCTTTATTTATATGCGGTGCTAAGAATCAAACCCAGTGCCTCACACATGCTAAGCAAGTGCTCTACCACTGAGCTACAACCCAGTCATTGAAGATCTCTTAAAATAAGGAGATTTGTGAATTTCAGTTCTTAGAATTCTTGAATTATACCATCTCTATTTTCTCTTTACTTCCTATATCTCTGTTTTGATTTAGTATTTGGGGGCTGATTTTAAATGTTCCTTCTGTTTACCCTTTTCCCTAGTATTTGTATTCAGACAGATTAACTCAATTTTATTTTACAGTCCTTCTATTTAGTTTTTATGTAAGCTATCAATATCATTTTGTTGTTATTATATGGGAGACAGTTAGACATGTATAATGAGTAGGAAGTCATAAAAAGTCTGGAGTGCAGTGGAAACATTGTTTGGGGCTACACATTTAGTTGTTCCTGGGTTTGTTTTAAGTTAAAGAGAAGAGCAAGGTAAATAAAAGGACTATGTATTTGCACTTCTATGTCAGAGACAACCTTAATTATCATCCATAGTTGGCCTTATAGATTATTATTAATGAGTCTCAGAAAGATTGATAGTAGTCACTTAATAAATCATTAATTAAATTAATTAATGAAATTAATCCCATTTAGTTATGCAAGGAACTTTCACATATTAGAGATATCTTTTGATTTATGAATTTTATAGTAAGTACATTTATCCTTGTGGATTCATGATATTCTATCATCACTTGGATTCTGTATAATGTGTTTTAATTTTTTAAATTTTTTTTTAGTTGTAGATGGACACAATAGCTTTATCTTGTTTATTTAGTTTTTTTTAATGTGGTGCTGGGGATTGAACCCAATGCCTCACACATGCTAGGCAAGCACTCTACCACTGAGCCATAGCCACAGCCACAGGCTTGTTTTAATTTTTTTTATTATGAAATAGTTTAAGACTATAAAGAAGTTGAAAAACAACAGGGCAGAGTTCCCATGTATACTGTACCCTATAATTGGTTTTGAAGATGCTACTTCTTGTTTTATTTGATTTATTAAAATTATTATTTTTTTTTGTTTTACATTGTTCATATGTTGATTTTCCTCTTCCTATACTATATTAACAAGTTTGAAGTGATTTTGATGAAAAAAATTCTCATAGCTATGAAGAAATATAAAACTAAATAGTAACATTTTGAATACTTCAGAAATTGAATTTTGTCCCCTAAATAATATATGTATCAACAATCCTGAATATACACATGTACAATCTACAATTTTCCATCTCTAATTATTGGAAACCTGGCATGTAAGAAACTATTAGATTCACTTCAATTTAAAAAACTTACTGGATGAACAATGAATCAGCATTTATTTTTTATTAATACATTTTAATTATACAGAATAATGACTTTGATTGTGGCATAGTCATATATAGGAATAGCATACTTTGATCATATCCACCCACCGTTGCCCTTCACATCCCTCTCCTTTTTCTCTTCCTCTTCTCTAATAGTCTCCTTGCTACTTTCATGTCATTCAAATACGTCTTTAGTTTGTATTTTTCTCTTTAGCCCATGGTGATTGCAGTTTTTCTTGCATTTGATATGCTTGAAATGGAGATGATACAAAAAACATTTCAAATGTCATCAAGTTATAATAATAGTTTGCAATGAAATAGACTTTAATATCCATAAATCTTATGCTGTTTTTTCATTTGCTTCTTTAGTGAATGTTTTAAAATATAGTTCACTTTATTTCATAATTACAACATGTGTTGGCAGACTGTCAATTGTAGTTTTATTTTTGCAAAGTGATTTCTTATTAAGAAAATATAAATAGGATTCTATTTAAGTTATAATTAGGAGTGTTTTAAGTACACATTTTGGACCAAATATATTTTGTTTTATTTTGAATTGAGACTCTGTGGCTACAGCTGGAACCCCTCTTGAACTTCAGACTCATGTCTCCATCTGTATGGTAGACATTTAATTAAATTTGCTACCGTCTCATTATCTCCCAGCAAAGCTTCCTGCTGTGTGTTTTCTCTCATTTAGTGTCCTCACCATGCAAGCAGACATCCAAGCCATGGCTTTAAAACTTTCTTGACTGTACCCCCCCATTAAAAAGTCTGCTTTAGTGTGCAACCCTAAACACACACACACATACATTTGAAATGGGAGCATCATGAACAATACCTATTCACATCATGTGTGGTAAACTGATATTATTTACTTCACTCATTTTTCTATTTTTGTTTCTATTTTGTGAGGAGAACTCCATATAAAATAAAGGTAACAATTTTAAAGTAAATAACTCAGTGCATTCAAACTGTTGGGCCATTAAAGTACATTTAAACTGTTGTGCAACAACACCTCTGTCAACTTTCAAAAACATTTTCATCACCCCAACAGGAAACTCCTTATCTATGAAGCAGTCACTGTAACTTGCCCCCTCCTCACAGATCCTGGAAAACACTAATTGGCTTTCATTTTTTTTTTTGTGGGGGGGGATGTGCACCAGGGATTGAACTCAGGGGCACTCAGCCACTGAGCCCCATCCCCAGCCCTATTTTGCATTTTATTTAGAGACAGGGTCTCACTGAGTTGCTTAAGGCCTCACCATTACTGAGGCTGGCTTTGAACTTGTGATCCTCCTGCCTCAGCCTCCCGAGCCGCTGGGATTACAGGCATGCACCACTGTGCCCAGCTAATTGGTTTTCTATATATTTTACATATTATGTTAAAACAAAATCATATGTATATTACCTCTTGTGTCAATTTCCATTTTAGAACATTATGCTAATTGCTACTTACAGAATAAATCTAACAGTTCAGCAGTGGGCCATCCACATTCTCTATAGGTCCCTATACAGGGTCTCAGTGCTTCTTGTCACTTCTGTTTCCAAACACAGACTTTCACCCTTTTGCATTTCTTCTCCCTACCTAATATCTCAGAAAGCTTTTGCCTCCTCTCTGTTCCTACTGCTCAAGTCCTCATTGTTCCTCACCTGGATTATCATACTATAATTATAATTAGATTTGGTGTCTGCCCTCCTTTCCAACTGCAGTTTGATTTCTAACTAGTTGCCAAGAATTTTTTGGCATATATAATTAAGAATGCCATATTTCCACTTAAGAGACAACCAACCACTTCAGCTTACTTTATTGCCTTTAAATAGAAATGAAAGTGCCTTAGAATGCTATGTGAGGCCCTTCCTATTCTTTCGTCCTACCTATTGTTCAACCTCATTCCAGCCACTACTTGTAGATCCAATAGCAATACCATATTGTATTTGTTTTTTCCTCCCTGAGGCAGTAAACTGGCTATACCATGAGCATCATTCAGAACTGATTTTAAACCTCCTCACATTAAAATCACTTTGCATATTAATGAACTGAGACTGATGGGATACCTCTTAATTTTTACTTTGATTAACAGAAATAACTATGCCTCTCCCATTACAACTGAATGTGGCTCCACTATAAGAGACATTTGTTTTCTGCGAATTATATTTGAAAATAAGCATAAACTATTGCTATATAGTCATCTAATTGGATATTTTTTTTTTCAAATTCTTTCTTCAATTTTTTTCATCTTGTATCAGGAAACTCAGTAGTGAAAGGTAAAAGTCAAAGTGTTAATAGCAAGAATCTTTAAGAAAATATGTATTGCCCAGAACATTACACTGAAAATTCTATTTGATTCCCTAGGGTTTGAATATCTGAGAGCCCATAAAAATGTAGCTAAGGAAATGTCCTTAATTTTCTCAATTTTTGTTTTCTTATCACATGGAAACTATTTCAATTTCACTTTTACATGGCTATTGAGTTTTGTTGCTTAATCACTATTGAAAGCTTGCAAGACACAGATTATTTAAAAAATAATATATTGCCAGGCATGGTGGGCATACACTTATAATCCCAGTGACTCAGGAGGCTGAGGCAGTACCAAAAAATTGATATGCTAAATCACAAATATCTGAAAAATGTGCTTGCTGAAAATAAATATAAATGTAACTAGTGCCATACCATGTGAAGTAATTAATCTACCCCAGACTAAGATTTAAATACTGATTATATTTGAATTAAATTTCATAGGTGTACATATAATTTTAATAAGCTGATAAATTGGATTTAGAAATTATGAACAATTTCCCTTTAGCACTTTCAATTTTTTATAGTAATTAGATGAGCCACTTGTCAATCAAGAAAATAGAAATAGGAAAATGGACTTTATTCATAATAGTATGTATATTTTTTGTAGTATTGGGGATTGAATCCAAGACCTTATGCTTGCTAGGCAAGATGAGCTACATCCCCAGCCCACTAATATATTTCCAACATGATTTACTCATAGCCAAATCCAAGGCATATACCTGCAGCTCCAATATTTAAATAATGTAAGGGTGTCAGAATAAACATTTTTCAATTTCAACTAATCACAAGCTGCTTGAAACTGATCAGGGAAGAGAAAATAATTGAAATCATCCATATCTGAGTTGAAACATAAATCACTAAATGCTGTTAAAAACCCAAAAAGTTTTGCATCAAATGTATGCATCATATTGGATTGTGCATTGTATTTGTACTTTTTTTCTTACAGTAGCATGGAAAACTAGTTTGAGATTTCTTTCATATTTTTCTATGGGCCCACCCTATTCCATTATGACTTCAGTTGGGCTTAATAAATTACATGGATTCCAGATAACAAATAACATTACATTCTGAGTTCATGAGGGCACTGGGAATTAGGACTTCAAAAAATGTATTTTGAATGCTACATAAATTTACTAGACAGTTTGACTAATTTGGCATAGATAGCAGATGGACAGAATTTTATCTTTTTTGAGTAATATATTTTAATTTTTGATTGACAGTTGTTTGTTGCACAATCAAAGCATATCATTGTACCCCATAAATTTTATAATTTTTTATGTGCCAACATATCTTTTGGGGAGGATATAATTCAACCTGTAATGGTCAATTTATGGAATTATTATTGAACAAGTTTGTGAATACAGCAACTTCATTATTTTTGTATTTCCTCCCAGGTATGCCATACAGACTATTCCCTTATATAATCCTACACACGAAACTTTAGAACTTCAAGTAACAAACAGTAATCCTGAAAATTTTGTCCTGGAAATTGACAGAAGATCACCAGTAAGTACATTCAGAAAGTCATGAGACCTACTGCTACTAGAGCATTTTGTAATTCTGAGTTTAGGACACAATCATTTTAATTAATAAGTTTTAAAATTCTTTAAAAATTTTTAAAAATATAATTTTCTATTATATACATTGTCCCTTGAATTTTAAAAATCATTAAAACACTAATGTGTTAATATAAATTTTTAAGATTATATATGCTAAAATCATGCTCATTGTCACTGAATTCTAAATAAACTGATTTTATTTCTCACCATTTTAATAATCAAGTTTTGTAATAGTTTTCCAGTATCAGAATTTTAACTTAACAGTTACTATATACGTTCAGGCAAGAGACCACTTCTTTTCTAGCCCCTCTTGAGTTCCTGCCCCTTGCCCCACACATACCCTTCCAGATAGTGCTGACAGATCTGCTTGTTCCTCGTCCCCATTCCTGTATCTTTCCCATTTTCTCATTCCTGGGTCCTTGCAAAGATTAGGATCAAGTCAATGGGCCAAAATATTTTTCTTCTGCCTCCAAGTTACAAAACAAGTTCCTAAAATTTAATATGACTTTCTGTGTTTCCAAAGCATAGGACACCAATTATTTATAGTGAATGTGAAACCACATACTTTCAGGTAAACCTCAAGATAATTACAAGCCAGATGTAGTGGTGCACAACTGTAATCCCTGCTTCTCTGGAGGCTGAGGCAGGCAGATGGCTTCAGCTATGGAGTTCAATGCCAGCCTGGGCAGCATAGTGACACCCTGTCTTGGAAAAAAAAAAAAAAAAGAAGAAGATAATTAGAGTAGTTTATTTTCATCACAAGACCTCACAGTAAATCATAGAGCTCTGTTAATATGTATGATATTTAAATAAAGGCTGTTATTATTTGCTGCTTAATGACTATTTAACAAATCTATAATTTTATTTCTTTATATATAAATGGCAGTCACTAGTTGCCAGGTAATAATACAATATTAAATTAGTTCTTCTATAATGTGTTAAATTAGAAATCACTAATTATTATACTGATAAAATTCATGGATACGCTTTCATCTTAGAAAAAGTGTATTAATGCCATGCACATTGACACATGCTTGGAATTCCAGCTACTCAGGAGGTTGAGGCAGGAAGATTACAAATTTGAGGCCAATCTCATCAACTCGACAGGACACTGGCTCAAGAGAAAAAAAATTTAAAAAGAGGACTGGAGATGTAATTCAGTGGTACTGTGCCCCTGGGTTAAATCCCCACTACCAAAATCAAAAGTATAGTAAAAAGATCATACATGGTTGTATCTTTTAAAATTATATTTTCTATAAATTATAAAGAGCATGGGGTTTAAGATATTGTTTGCCTATAACTGGAATTCCTCATTACAAAGTGGTGTTTTTTATCTCTATTTTTAAAGAAGAGTCATATATATATATATAGTAGATGGACACAATACCTCTATTTATTTATTTATTTTTATGTGGTGCTGAGAATCAAACTCAGCATCTCACTCATGCTAGGCGAGTGTTCTACTGCTGAGGCACAACCCCAGCGCCAGAAGAGTCTAATCTTCAACCCAAGGAAAACCAAAAGCAATATATGCATGCCACCTGAATCACATAATTAAGAATAGGGCTGAGGTTGTGGCTCAGCAGTATAGCACGTGCCTAGCATGTGCGAGGCCCTGGGTTCAATCCTCAGCACCACATAAAAATAAATAAATAAAATAAAGATATTATGTCCAACTAAAAAATAAATATTTAAAATTAAAAAAAGAATAGCTTATTTTCTTATCCTTTCCATTCATGACTTGCTAATTTATTCATTCTTTTACTGAATACTGACTATTCAATTAAGCTAATATTAGGAAATAACTCAAAAAGTTATGTATGAGAAAACACTTATATAAAATAGGAGACACACTAACAAATAGAAATGATAAAAAATGGAAAATAATATGAAATTTATTTTAGAACTATATAAATAATATATGCATTTATATAATTATATGTACATATAAAAGTGTATATATATATATATATATATATATATATATATATATATATATATGGTACTTTACTCATGCCTTTCATTACATAACGTGTGTGTTCACATAAGTAAATATTTTTAAATCTTGATTATTTTTCATAAACACTTCAATGATTAGGAAGTCAAATAATGATATGAAAAACTTGCTTCCTTCCAACTATATATAATCAAAAATTTCAAATGGATACAGAAGTTGAAATAATAATGCAGTGAACAATCTTGTACTTTCCATCTTGGTTCATAAATTTTTAATGATTTGTCACATTTTTTTCTCTTTTTTTTTTCTTTCTTACATATCTTGCTATTAAATTTGAAAGGAAATTGTAGATCACATGTCATTTCAACCTAAATACTTCAGAATGTTTCTTAAAAGCATATTATTCTCCTAAATTATCTCATATTCATGGGAATTCAAGTTTACTCAACTGTCACAAAATTTTTCTTCCCTCTTGAACTAGGACTCAGTACTCACATATTGGTATTAGTTATCATGATGATGCTTGTAATGAAATGATCTTAAATTTCAAAATGGTCCTACATTTAACATATCAAATATACCCCATTACATGAAACCACAGGTTTACTGTAGCTCATTTCTACCAATGGTATTTAGCCTTCTGTCTTTGAAACCATGGGAAATAATACATTCTTCAATGAATTTCAGTGAGGTTTAAGTGGAAACAAGGGTTTTTAATAGAATTGCTATTTGATGATATGCATTCCTTCATTTTTAAACACAAGCCTCTGTCATATGTTTATAGAAGAGGAATTTTAGGCTGGATAGGCTAAAAATTAAACCACATGGTTAGTAAAAATTAAACCATATGGCTAGAACTAGAATTAAAATCCAAGTTAATGTAGTATTGCATGATCATTTCAATAAGAAAAGATCTCTCTTCTCTATCTCAGTACACATTTGTCCATACAGATAAGTACATACACACATATATACATATCCTTATCTGTCAGTATTTATAGAGAGAACAAAATATTTAGTCATATTTGCTAAGTTAAAAGAATTTATGATTTTTTTCTTGTTTTTGCTAAGGATATTATTAAAACTATTTTACATCCCTGAAGTGTTTATTTTCTGATAACCCCAAAACATTGGAGATATTAGAGAACCAGTCTGAGGAAAAAAAAATATTTGCTAGAGATAAAACCATACATATTTATTCAGGAGGTGACTTCATAGTAGTAAATATAAAATTAAATCTGCATTTGCATTTTATGGTCATTATCAGAGTTTATCAAGCACAAAATGATGTGTTTTACAGGGATTTAATAATGCTACTAAATTGCAATCTTGCTTTTTCAAGGCCTTTGTGGAAAAATGTATTACTGAAAAATAATTGACTCACTTTTCAGACATGTGTCAGTCATTCTATTATTTTATATGTTGATATTAAATACTGTATTATTTGCAGAGTAGCATTTAGATTACATAAGATACCCAAGGCTTCATTACATTGTGATGGAGTCATTTGGGTTTTTTTCCCTCTCTTTAAGGAGAGAATTCAAGCTCCTATCATACCAACCACAGGTCACACCCTGAGAGTGTATATTATAGTATGAAGAGGAAAACTTTATCATACATTTAAAAAACATATCTTCCCTCTATGCTTAGAAACAGTTTATTTCTTTTGACATTACCAAGGCTACAGGTTAGGTTCCTGGTGGCTTGACATGTACCATGAGATGGCCAATAGGCCATGGACTCTTCAGTTAAATGCATATATCTATTATTAGGGAGGCAAACTTAACTTGTAAAATTTAATCCTGACTTACTTTGACACAGTGAATAACCCTGTAGTCATTGTTTGGGGATAGGACATGTCAGGAGATCCATGCAATAGTGTTCACCACAGGCTCTTTTATCAATATTCATAAACAGCCATACTGAGAACAGATAATGTACACAAGGCCACACATTCATCACTCAAACATAATATTTGTATTCAAGTAGCCACCTCAAACAAAAATGTTGATTTTTGTTTCTCTTTTACTTCTTTCTGAATCTACGCAGCTGATTATATTTCCTCACTCTACCACAGAGATATCTGTTTATTTTTATCCTTCTGCACTTGGAAGAGCTGGTCATGAAACTTGTATCAACTTCGGCTGCGCTCAGGTATGATAAGAGTATTTGTGGACTAAGTCAAGTTAATGAAATTTCAAAATTCATAAATAAATTCAAGTCATTCAGTTGACATCATTCACAAGTAAAATGAGTTCATTGTAAATCATTAATGAACTTTTGAAAATACAGTATATAATATCCACGTGCAAGCACCTAAATAAGGTATTTATAAATCTTTATATCACTTGAATGAAGGAGAATATCTACCTAGGCTTAAAACATCAAAATTTCAAAGTAAAAGTCAAATCACTGGTATATATGTTCATTCTCTGAGTTGAGTTTTACTACTCAACTTTCCATGGACTTACATATAAAAATGTAAAGAGTACAGTCTTGCAAATATTGTATTATATTTTTCATTCCATTTCCTCTGTATAGTGTTCCTGAATAATAATTATTTTTTAAAATAATTATCATTTTGGAAGCACCTTTAAATGTGATATATGTCATTCTAAGAATCAACTTAATTCATTCTCACTATAGTTCTATACAGGAAGTATTGTCATTAACAATTTTATGGATCAGGATTCTGAGACAGAGAAATTAAGATTAAGTAGTCAGTAAAATGTTGAACCGAGAACTAGACTCAGGATATCTGGCTTCATTTCATTTTTATGGCTGCTTTTCACAGCTACCTATAGTTTACCAAGTGATTGGTAACTCTTTAATTGCCAATGAGAACTTGCACAATATTTTACATTTATTATTATTTTTACCTACTCAAATATTTATGGGGAGGAAAAGAAATAGACAAATGTACTGTGTATCATAAATGACACCAAGGAAGTCATAGATGCCTGATGTTCAAGTGACAGTAGAAACAAATATAATTCAGGGATCCCCATGTCAATTTGGGACCTATAGTGACTGAAGTGTCCTCTTTTTCAAAAAAATTTTCATTTATTTTTAGAAAAAAAAATATTGAAACTGTCAAATTTTCTAAATGATAGCTCACTTATACATGACCTGAAATAAGTACTATAGATTCCAGAAAATATTAAAGAAAACCAATAGTAATCCTTCTCATACAGAAGGGAGAGTATAGTGGATATTACTATCTTGTAAATAAATACTTCTATCAAGGCTGATTTTAAAAAAAAAACTGTGTAGATAGACACAATACATTTATTTTATTTATTTACTTTTATGTGGTGCTGAGGATTGAACCCAGTGCCTCACATGTGCTAGACAAGCCTTCTACCACTGAGCTACAACCCCAGCCCTAAGGCTGATCTTTTGCTTCATGGGGGGTTTAGAGCTCTATCCTCTTAATTATTGGGGACATTTTAGTTGCTTGCATTTCTAGTGGAAATTGTATCTTTTCAAGGATAGTCTTGCACATCAGCAGGGCTATTATCAGGTTGGCATCTTAACTGCTTTAGAATAGCCTAGATATTGACTATTAATTCTTTATTAAACAGAAAAGAACTCAAACAAGTAAATAATCATCTCAAACTGTTTGTGAGTAAGTTGAACAGTGGGCTTGATTTCAGTATTTCTTAATATCTCCATTTCAAGTTGTAGTATAAATCTCTGAGGGTTCATTTATGGTTAGACTTTAATCAGTAATTCATCTGTTCAGCTTCTGGGTCCAGACCTCTTCAACCTTTTGGATGTATCTTTCTAACCTCTGTGATTTTTGTTACCCTTTTTATCTCTGAATGATTCAGTCTTACTCTTTTATTTAATTCATTCAGTTGACATCTTTTGCAAGCAAAACTAGTTCAACATAAAGTATTAATTGAATGGAGTTTTGAAAAAAACAGTATATATTATGTATGAGCAAGCATCTAAAGAAGGTGTTTTCAAAATAAAACTTTATAGATTATATTTCTTCATCTCAGAGTTTGGAATACCTTATTACCTTCAGGGAAAAACTCATAGATTTCGATCCCTCTCAGTTTTTTGATTGATCAAATCTATCTGAACTGACATGCACAGCTGAGTAGCTGATTAATCTAAAATTAACTGTTGGCAGTGCTCATAGGATAAATGTAAACTATTTCCAATTGTGCATTTTTGCTGACCTGAGGGAAATGGTTATGTTTTATTGTTTACTTTGTTGGCTTCTGTTTAGGTCTATATGAAGAGCTCTGCAGTCTAAAAATCTAACTCTGGGCTCAAGTTATTTGTGCAGAGTTTGAATCCTCAGATTAAGTGTTAGGTAATCACAACTTCAGATATCATGAACTTATTATGCTACCAGAGTCTCTCAATGAGATTACATTACTGCATAACAGTTGGAAGCACCAGATGTGCTAATTGGAACTTTTCATTGGTTTCAAACATGTTGAGATTTTCTTTTTTAGTTTTCAGATGTTTCATTTTAATTTTCAAACAGTTGCCCTTGTTTATTGCACTTATATACAGTTCTGTGATTTGTTTCCTCTAAAGGTCAGAATAGCAAAAATTGAAAAGATAAAATTCAGAATGGTTTTATAACCCAGCTTGAGTGTATGATCCTTGAAGCCTACATCTATGGAAAGTTCTGTTGATTCTCAGCAAGTTTTAATTTTCTGGAGGCCCTGCTCAATGTACAAGCTAGATTTACTATCTTTTACTTCCCCTTGCTTTATATTTTAAGAACATCAGAATTATATTTTTATTGTCTCTCCTGTAGTAGAAGTTTGAGATAAATATGAGCTGAAAATATTATTTTTAATGCACGTGTTTGCTGGGTTATTTTTTAATTTCCCCGTCTGAATTTAAGTGGATAATTTAATCAATGCCAGGACAACTGTACGATATCAGCACTCAAAAATGACAGGATGTGGTTTAACATAAAAACTCAATATTCCATGTCGCTTAAGGAAACATGAAACATGGCCTTCTTTTCGTAGTTTAGCTCATCCCTAATGGTTGAAAGTAACTGGATTTCATTTGTGGGTCAATTATATAAAATCAGGTTAGGACAACATAACTGAAAGTATACTAAACTTATATCATGTGAATAGAATCTGTGACTAACAGTAATATAGTCATTTGAATATAATATGAAGCTCTAACTTGCCTTTAATTCTTCCTATTAAAAGATGGCATTTTATGGAATTCCTGCCACTGCTTATCCTAATTTGAAGCAACCTTAAAGAAAGTTTTCTTCTTTTTATTGGATTTCAAGCCTGGAAACATCTATGTAGTTCAAGAGATTAAAAACCAGGACAATCACTGGCTTTTGCAAATGACCTTTTCATTCATCTATAATATGAACAAAGGGTTTGATGTATAAGTATAAAACATCTAGAACCAAATCATAATCTGTTATACTTTCAAGGGATTTTTATTCTAAATGGACACAAAGAAAACATTTTCAAACAGCACTTAGCAGCTTATGAAACCCAGGTCAAAACAAGGGCTACATTCAATCTCCTTCAAATATTTTTAAGCCATTCATCCATTTCATGTGATAACAGAAAATGTATTCAATGTATTAGATGGTGAGGATAAATAACATCCCATGCAGTTATAAACACTTCCTTTTAATGGGAATTTAATATGTGCTTCACCTTACTTGCCTTCATGCAGTGAGTATCTTAATTTCATTTGGAATTCGCCCTGCAATTTTGGAAACTATATGCAATGTTTAGTATCCAGGTTTTTAGATAAGTTGATATTAAAACATACCATGAATATAAATCCAAGATATCCCATTAAAGATTCTTTTCTGTGCCTTAAATAACATTATATGTATTGAAATATGTTGCATATTTGATTACTGGCCCTTTGTCTCCTCTTTTTTCAGTGTAAAAACAGACTGATTTTTCAATAAAATCAAAAGGAATTTGAAAAAGAGAGATGAAAGAGTACATGTTAAATATTGACAATGAACCTTTTCTTGCCAAATTTTGTATGTGTATTACATTTATTAATGGTTGTAAATATAATTTGTGTGATTAGGATTATCTTACAAATGTTTATCCTCAAACAGTTTAAAGAATGGAAATTCTGCCTCTATGGAGTAGGACTACTCCCCCAGCCTGCAGACACAGAAAAAATAACCACCCCTCTTGGTCTTCAGTCATCTTTCATTATACCTTTCAAAAATCCCACTGAGGAAGATGTTGTCATCAACATCATGTTAACAAGTACGTTGTTTTTCTTGTATTTACATATAATTTTGTAGCTAGTAATCAAACTTATTTTATCATAGAATAAAAAATCATTATATAAAAGAGAAAACATGGAGAGAGATATGGAATATGTTGGTTTATAAATCACAGCTTACAAATGGTGGAGCCAGAATCAGGTATTTATGTACCAAGTCAATTTCTTCCAATATTGTCTGTAAACTTAAATATACAGTAAATCTGTAAGATTATTATGATATTAATCAAATATGCCAGTATTTATTCTTTGAAAGTTTATGGAAATTCTTGTGTTATGATTCTGTTTCTCCCCTCTTTTTTTTTTTAAATAAATAGGTAGTATATCTGATTAAGTATTTGTTTCAACCAGTCTTTTTGAAGATGCATGCTTTTAAATTAGATTGCATAAAGTATTTAATCACTTTATAGTAAATTATTTAATACTGTGAGTCCAAAATAAAAATTAATTCATCATGAGTTTTCTGAAGCACATTTAAGTCCAATATTGGACATTATCAATGTGTTTTTGATTATTATTCCTATTTCTACTATTAGTATTAATATTATTACTTTCAACTACTATTGCTACTATAGTAATTGGTAATTTAGTGATTATAGTTTTATATATTAAACCTTTTGATATAAAAACCTACTTGCTTTCCAGAATGGTTATAATATTGTAATTCATACTCATCAAAATATATTATAGATGTCACCTGTTTTCTTGAGTCTAATCAACTCTGAATAGCAATATTCTCCTTAATCTCCATCAATCTGATTGAGGGAAAATTGTATTTTATCATCATTGCAAATTTACTATTTTTTATTAGCACATTATAGTTATGCATAGGAGCTGGTTTCATCTCGACAAATTCCTACATGCATGGAATTCAATTGTAGTTCATGTTTTTCCCCTTTTCCCTCCCCTTCCTCTTTCCCCCATTCTCCTTTCTCTATTGATCTTCCTTTTATTCATCTATTTATTTATTTTTGATCGGTTCTTTCTATTTACACATAAAGGGGAAATTCCCTGTGGTTTATTTATATATGCACATAGAATTATTTTTAAAAAATTCATTCCACATTTTCTTCCTTTCCCATCCCTCCTCTCTCCCTCTCAATCTCCTTCTACTCTACATCTTTCTAATCTTCTATCCTCCTTTATTTATTTATTATTTTTGATTAACGCTTATCCTGAATATTGTTTACCTGTTGGCATTTTGGTTTTTCCTGATCATCCCTTCATGCTCTTTGTATGAAATAATTTTTTAAATTATAAAAATAATGGCATGTCATATAAAATCCTTATAAATACTTTGGTTGTTATGAGGAGAGGTGTGCAGTATTTAGTAAAAGCTGATTGAAGACTCAAGGAACTCGTCATTTTAAGGTAGAAGAGACTAGAGCATATGTATAAGCAGAAGGAAGAATCTAGAGTTGAACAGGAGTTAATGGTATAAAGGAGGGAAGGTTTAAATGATGAGCTGAGGCTCTTGGTGGACTGAGCTCATGGTCAAGGTATACACGTTAACCTTGAACAGGAGGAACATTTCTTCCTTTGGACAGGTGGGAATAAGAGAAAAGAAATGCAAATATAGATATCTTGTTATGAGGTAGAGGGGCTTGGGAATTAAGAGCAGTCATGTTTACATTTTCTTCTGCTGAAGAAAGGAGATAGAGTAGGAAATTTGGAGAGTTAGTGATTTGGAATAACTGCTGGAGGAAAAGGAATAGGTAGCTGAAAAAAAAATTCAAATACAAAAGGCATTGTGTCCTTTGGGTTTAGAAACCACACATTTAGATAGGCACCAAAAAGATGTTGTGAAGCTTGTATCAATTGTACAACTCGGAATCTCTGGTGTGGGAACTTGAGGCAGGCCAAAGGATTTTTCCAGGGAATGAACTTCTCAGGGCAGATATAGTTAAATATCTTCATAATTATAAGTGTTTTAAAAACATACTGGAGTCAAGATTTTGACTTTAAAAATATGAAATAATTTGTGGCCTCTTAGTTTTTGAAAATCTGCCTAAAATTCTTCCTTCTTTGTAATAAGAAAATACAGCAAACTTATCAATTAAAACTTTTATCAGTCATTTGCAATTGAAACATTCTCTTTTAAGTAAACTTACTCTCTGTAGGGGAAATGTTAAAACTCTTAATTTCTCCCTCCTCCTTTCTTTAAGCTGATAAGATGGGGCAAAGAAAATTATTGACCTCAGATATCTTAGCACTTGTCCACACTCCCTCCCTCCACCCCCAACAGTTCCTCTTTCCCTTTTCTTATTGATGACATCTTCCTTTGTGTCATATCCTCCTCCTTCTCCCTCTTTTGGACTCTGTTTTGCTAGGTGCCATACACCTACTTTGTGTTCATATTCCTTGGTAAATAAGCTCACACAATTTGGCCTGAATTGTTGAACATTTATGGGAAAATGGGACTGATGAGAAGAATAAAATATTTAGCATGTATGCCAAATATACACATTACAAAAGGTGCTATGTTGATACCTTCTCATTTAAATATTTGTAAATGTCTTTAAATTATTTAACAATGGAACTATACAACCTGTTGCTATCTTTCAAAAGGAAGCAATATAGATATTCCTGGAGATAATACAGAATTCATGGAGTTTCCTTAGGGAAGTTGATGGCAAGATTCAGAATACATCACCAAGAGGTGATACTCAATGTGAATGATCTCACAGAATTGCAGATCCTGCATATCTCCCCCCATCCCATGTGTGAGTGTGTGTGTGTGTGTGTGTGTGTGTGTGTGTGTGTGTGTGTGTGTTTCCTGCACCTGGAATCCTGAACCTGGAATAATTATTTTCCCTACTGAATAGCATGGCACCATATATACAGCTTTATTTAAACATTTGTTATTGTAGTTAATATTTGTGGGATCTTTGTGAGCAAGATTTGTGTATTGGTCACTTATAAAGCAAACAGGACAGAGTGGTCCACAAAAATATTAAGATTCTGATAACTAGAGACAACATGTAGTAGAAATAAAGTGCCAAAGATCCTTTGAATATTGAAAGGTATTATTTCTGGGAGAAGTGATAAACATGAAAATAGCTAAGATAGCAGCAGGAAAAATGATAGAGAATTAGGTAATCTAGAAGTTTGATAATGAGTTTGACATTCCAAAAATGCTGCTTTCCTGGGAAAACAGTGAGTTTTGAAAAATATCTGTATATTTCTATACGTGTGTTGGAGGAGGGGTGGAGACATATCAGGATATTGCAAAATTGCTAAATGCTGTGATAAGGAATCCAGGTTTAATTCCTTAGTGAGTTTTGAAAATATTTCCTGTGTTTTATGTATTTATAAACTATATTCTATAGCATTTTAAAAACTAACTCTAAAAATATTTGTTGACAATGGATATGGCTTGGGAGAGTAGACTGGTGTTGAGAGCTAATGCTTAGAAGGTTTAAATCCATATCAATGGAAAAGCACACAATATATTTCTAGAAGTTTCCCAAATCTCTGAGAGAATTCATTCATTTAGCAAACATTTTACATTTCATGTGCCCAGACTACCCTTTTTCAAATAACTATACTGTGCTGCCTAAACAAATGTTCTTAAAGGCTTGCTTACATTCCCAGTACTTTTTATAACCCAGATGAGTATTTGGTTATGGGTACTTTAAAATAGTCCCAAGCTAAAGATCATTATGTTGGTGCTGTTTGGAAAAGAATCACATAAAAAATTCTTATCATTCCATTTTACTGTTGTAATACCACACACTCACAAGATCAGATAACATAGAAATATTCTAAAAAATTTGTCATAATGTGTTCATGGAGGTGTTATCAAAGGCTTTCATGGTACATTGCACAGTCTTTTTTACAAAATTATTGGGAGAAATTTCTTTCAGTTATTACTATCAAGAAGAATTATTGCTTTTTTGAGCCAGTAGTTTGTTTTCATCCCACAGAGACTGATGGTGTCATTTCATTTCTCCTCCATACACTGGCTGCTAAGAAAATATTTTGGCTTATCTGGAGCAAGTGACATGCCCACGCTATATCTCATCCCTGACTGCAGGTTATGTCCCTAATCTTGTTTCAATTTTCTAAAAAATTACTTGTAATTCGTCTTTTCTTGGATTTTATATCTCTGTGATGTCTTTAAAAGTTTTTGTAAAAGATGAGGGCATATAAATACACATATGTGCCCACAAAGATACTAGTTTGCAATATTTCAAAGTTTTTGATTGCCCCAGAAATCTCTTTCCCATGACAAGATAAGCCCATAAGATTAGACTGTAGCTCTCAACTTCTCCTGTACTTCTATCTTACCCAGTTTGGGAACAGATATCTCCAGGAAAGGAGCTGTACAAACAATGCCAATAGGAACAGGGCGAGCTCTTTGAAGAGCTTTCAGTTGAACATTATGCAAGGCAAAGTGAGAGAAGATGATGCTTCAGGGATCCTCCATGTCTTAATCCATGCTAACTTCAAAAGATAAATGAGAGAAGCTGGCTAGAGAAGAGATGGTCTAAACACCCTGAGGATGGTAAAAATTCCTTCAAAGCAGATAATTAATGAGTATGATGAGGAACAGGATGCTACAGCAAAACTTTTAAATACCCTGAGAAGAGAAGATGTGTTATGAACCTACTATATGCCACCCTAGACCTCTATTAACATGACCGTACCCAATCTTCAAGACAACTCTTCCAAGAAGGAAGTCAATATTCCTACTTTTCAGATGTGGAACTCTAGGCTTAGACATTCCCCAAAGCCATAGCAGTAAATAGAACAAGATCTTGAACTGATGGTGTCTGGCTGTCTTCTTCAAGACCACCTGTCATTCTAAGTCATCTGCTCAGAGGTGGTACTTTTAAAAACCAGTGAAGGCTTTAAAGAACTTACATTGTCTTCACATGACAGTGGAACAGGCTTCCCCTATTCTATAAAAAGTCGTCAAGAAATACCCCTTACTGCCACTGCTTTCTCCTCTTTTCATATCTTCTGATCTCTTCTTTCTCTTTTGCTCTCTGCCATAAGATACTGAATCCATCTGATCCACACATGCTTAGGGTTGCACCTTGCCCTTATTTGGCATAGACATGTACCTCTCGGTGACTGTCCATGGACTCAATTCTCACAATTATTCTCATCAGTAATTTTTATCTGTAATTATGTCCCCATTTTGAAACCCCTTCTCTTCTCTTAAGTTTCTGCCACACATAGCTGGGAATAAAGGCAGAGAATGGAAGAGTAGCCATGAGTGGGAAGCAAGGATCTAAGTTAAACCATTAGAAATTATGGACTAATGTACACATATTATGAATTTAAGGACATATCTCTATTAGATGTTGGTTTCCTTGCTCATCAAACCATATTCTAAACCTGCTAATTTGTGAGCTTTTTAATGTCAGGGGTTACCTTAATTCATAGCTTAATTCCTTACTAAATGAATATTTGCATTTTAGCATACATGCTGATAAAACAGGAGTTAAATGTTTTGTCACTGTCTCTTTGTTGAGTACCTATTTTGATCTGAAAACTATTGTATGTACATTTCAAAACTATTTCACATTTGAAGGACATATATACAAATACATAGTTTTTTACTTTATATAGTATTCTGTAAGTGAAATTTCATTGTGGATTAGATACCTAAAAAGTTGCAAAAATGAACGAAGCAATAATTAATGCATACAAATGAGGTGTTTTGATTATTTTTCCTCTGAAATGGTTATAGTCTGGAAATTCTTCACTCTACTTAATCTAAATTTAAATGTAATATGAGTGATTTGATTTAAATATTTAAATAACCATGGATTCTGTTTCAGACATCAATAGTTAATTGAAGAGTAAAACAAAATAACATTAGGGGAAAAGATGTGCACGTCAATTAACATAGCATATTAGATTTACAAATATCACTTTCCATTTTGGTGATTGATCAGTGTAAATAAAGTACTGTGATGAGTTCTTGTTGACTTTGGGTTAATTATGACTGTGGTGTTCAGTAGCAGTAAAGTAATAAAGCATACAATGTAGCATAATTATGATAAGTTAATCACACTTTGGGGACACAGAGATGACTCAGTGCATTTCATTTCACAGGGTAGATTAGTTTATGAAAATCTTGTCCCTGAAGGCCCTCTGAATCTTATCTAAAGCACATTCAGAGTTGAATAAATGTTTATGTTAACTATATAGTAATCATAACAAATTGCCAATCAGTGTGAACACAGTTTTATACATAAGAAGAGAGCTAAATAGGTGTAAGAAAATGTTCCATGCCCTCAAGATCCTTCCCAAATTCAAGATTTTATACTTTGGAATTAATAAATAAATAGTATTGGGAGATTTGAGACTTAAGCAAGGAAGTTGCAATTTTGAAAATATTAATAGTCTCTTTAATACCTTAGTTCAATTAGATTATACATCCAAGTTCACTTTGCTTATGACAAAAACTAATATTTTTATATTAAGTAAAATAGATGTAGACTAATTATAACTACTTTTTAGATGAACAATCTAAAACTCACCTTGCTTATAATTTATTTTTAGGTAGTATTCAGATACCTTAATACTTGTAGTTCCTTACCTGATTCTTGATTAATAACTATCTCCTGAAGTCCAGGAAGCAATAACTGGGAACTTATCAAAATTCAGATTCTCAGGTCCACACTCAGTTACTCCTTTTTGTTAGGTCTAGATTTAGGTCCTACTATCATAAGCTATTTCCATATAAGTTATTGGGAAATTACACTTTTCAAAACACTCATCTTTACAAAATCACCTCTAAACAGTTTTTTTTTAAATCATGCACGTATCTTAGTGGATACTTTTTAGCATTTTCAATATATGCATATTGACTTTTGAAATATATACATGTAACACAATTAACATGTATTTAATATCAAGAGAGCTTATCATTTTTATAAAAAATTAATGCACATTTATGTATATTGTTTTATTGTTGCATAAATCTTTATATATACATAAATACACACATTCTCTGACATATATATGTGTGTATATATACATATATATATATACATATATGTGTGTGTGTGTGTATATATATATATATATAAATGCATTTCATTTTTAGATAGCAGGCTCAAACAGGTTCTCAATAACATTTATTATTTGAATAGTTAAAATTTCAAAAGTTTATGAGTAGATTTTATACGACTTTAATATTATAGAGAGTACCTTTTATAATGTTGGATACGTTCTTCAAAAATGTCATTTAAAATTCATGTCAAAATATACTTTGAAAAATATTTGTCTAAGAAATTTCCCATTAGATGAATATTTCCATTCTATTTCCATTTCCACTGATGTTTGTCTTCTTGAATGTGACATTGAAATGTAATATCACTTTATTTTTTAAATTAGATCATGAACAGCTCAGGCATCTTCTCATCGACCAATGTTGGGATAGCTTCATCAATGAGAATTCTGCTTTCCAGTTTAATTCTCTGAGTCATATACAAGGTATAGAATGTCTGCCTTATATTCTGTCATTATGTATACTACTACATTTAAGATTTAATGCTTCTTTCCATTGTCTTAATAAATATTTGATACAAATTAAAATACAATTTAAAATTTTTGAAACGAATTTATGTAAATTGATAGAAAATCATGGATAGTGTAAACTTTATGCATCTGTAGAGCATTTACATTGTTTTTCTTTTGAAATGTAGCACCTAAGTAACTCTTGCCAAATATTTTACTTTTGTATTTTTCTTCCTCCTCTTCTTCCCCTTCTTCTCTTTCTTTTTCTCTTCCTCTTTCTTCTTTACCTTCTTTACCCTCCTTTTCCTTCTCCCTCTTCTTCCTACTTCAATGAACTGGATCTTATTATGTTGCCAGTTGCCTTAGCCTCCTATTTTTGAAATTTCGAATGTTTGTAAGTCATGCCACTTAATACATGGGTGTGTGTGAGTCAAGGAAAATTTTGGAAAATTAAAAATAACTAGTGTGCTAAGACTACTCGATCTCAGGAAAAATAATTACATCTTTGCATAGCTAATGATTACTTGCAAATGTATTAAAAGTTGTACATATGTTTCTTCTGTACATTTAACCCATGTGAATATTAATGAATAGGAAAACAATCTAAGATATAATGAAGTTGCTTAAAAATCCAAAGCTCAAAAATTATGAATTTGCTTAAAATATTTTTAAATTACAAAAAATGATTTTGGTTTATATAATAAAGGACAAATTTTGTTAATGTAGTTAATGCAAACATACTAATTGAAATCATGACTATTAGCATCCTTCTGAAAGGTTAATGACCTTCTTCCATTTACTATAGTCGCTTATTCTTGAGTATTATTGATTTATCTAATTTAATGCAAAATTTCATGATATAGGTATTATTATTCTCATTGAATTGAGAAAATTGAAATTCAGAAAAATTAACTTACACAGAATCTAAACACTTGTTTAATGGCAGAGGTGAATTGCCTATGTCTGATTTCAAAATCTTTGCTTTATATTTCTTTTTAAATTTTTTTTTGTAGTTGTATAAGGACAGAATACCTTTATTTTATTTGTTTATTTTTTTATTTGCTGCTGAAGATGGAACCTAGTGCCTCATACATGCTAGGCAAGCACTCTGCCACTGAGCCCCAGCCCCTGCTTTATATTTCTTTGCAATGCATTAAAAGGAGTACAAACAACAGTTTGTAAAGGAGAAAATAGAGATGGCAAAAGAATGGTTGAAAATATATTTAGTGCCATTTTAACCAAATAGACACTGATCTCTGGTTATTAATGACATAGATGTTAAATAATTTAATTAACATAGATGTTTAATTAATAAATATTGATTTAAACAATGACTACCTAATTATTCTTTTTTCTTTTTTTTTGTTTGTTTTGCAATTTTGTATTTTTTTGTATTTTAATGGCACTACCAATGTTAAAGTTTCTATGTGAAATTGGAAAAAACAGTGCTAATAGGAATATAAATCATTGCATAGAGTCTAGAAAGCACTTTGTGTAATGTATAGAATGAAACTCTGAAATGATCATTATTTAATACCAATACCAATTCTGGTGAAATATTTTTTAAAAATAATCAAAATATGGTTGATTCATGCCAAAATATATTTGGTATTGCATCTTCTATGATAGCAAAAAGCAATTGAAAACAGCCTTAATGCCAAATAATAAGTTTGTTATATTTGTAGAAACATTTAATTCATCTGTGTATACTTAGTTTTACTTACTTATTAAATATATAAGCCATTTTATTTTTTTTCAAAATTTCTTCCATTTATTCTACAAATGTTTTTTTTCCCATTGTGAAATCAATGGAAAATTCAACTACATTTTTTTTTCTTCTCTATGTTTAATAGGGAAGTATCACAGATGGGTAGGCAACTTTTTATTTCATTTTGCCTTTCATTATTCAGGGATATTTATTTTCTTAATTCCTTTCACTTCTCTTCTTGTTGAACAATAATAGTCATTCTGTTGCTATTTGTTTTTGCAGTGTAACATCCTATATTTGGATCATATACATTTTGTTCCATGGATCAGTAGTTTAGGTCTTGTGCCAGTGCCACAGTTTAAACCCCATGGTTTTGTTTTATTATTCTATTTCTTTCTTTGCAGTTTCTTTACAATTATTTATTTACTCTCTTCATCTATTTATCTTTCTGTAAAAACTTTAGAATAACTTTTTTATCAAATTCCAAAATAAATCTCAGTAACATATTGCAGTTACATTAAACCTATAGACAAACTTGGAGAGAACTATATCTTTATGATATTTAATCTTCTTATTCAGAACTATTCATTTTCTTAATATTTTGCAGTATAGTATTTATAAATGTCAATAAAGCCCATGTTTGCATGACAAAATTATAAAGCTTTCAGTAGCAGTACTATTGTTTTAAATAATCCAGTTAGTAATTACATATAATGCAATTTCTATACAACATAGAAACCAAGAATTTTGTGTCCCTATATTAATATTTCCAATTTGATAAGTAGTGGTTAAATGCACTTATTTAATTTATGACTTATATTGCTTTTATTGTCTTCAAATAGGTTTCAAATTTAATCCAATTTTCTGCTGGATTCCTTATTGACTTTTCTAGCTACCATTATGAGTTGATTGTTATGATAAACAATGTATACCCTGCCTGTGTAGAGCATAGTTCAAGATGTACTCCCTACCGCTCTATATAATAAAATCTCCAAAGGGGCTTATTTTCTAGGAATTCCTTGTTTTCTCTGACATTCTTATATGCTATAATATTAGTCTTAGGGTTTTTTTCTACTGAATTAGGGATTATAAACATTAAAATTACAACAGAAATGGGAGCTCAGCTTCTTATACTGCTATTGACATTTTTTGAGACATTGGGACATTTTTGGCCATACCGTAAAACTTTCCTTTAGAGATATTATCCTGAACAAGAAAAGCACTTATAATCCTAAAACTAAGTTTTTCTACTTCAACATGCAACATTTCCTTGGTGATATATAGTTATATGTTCCCTAAATGTGAATGGTGCTGCTTCATTCCATGGCAGGAGCTATTCAATTCACCTTTCCTATCTAAAGCTGACTTTACCAAAATTGTGGCCTGTATGTGACTAAAGGATATGAAGAAAAATAATTTCTGTAAACATTGCTCATATTAACTTCTTTCATAAATTTTTAATTCCTTTGCACTTATGATGTCATTTAGACCTATATATAGTTAGATAGTGACCTAGACTAGAACTCTAGCCATTGACACTATTGTTTTCTTACTGGAAAAAGCATTTATATTTACACTGACATTTATTTATATTTATTTATATTGACACTATTGTTTTCTTACTGGAAAAAGCATTTATATCATCTTTATTGCTCTTTAATTTCTGGTTATGTGTAGGTACCTAAATACTTCATTTTATTTTTAGCAGATTTGTAGTTCTTTTTGTTATCTTTCAAAACTGATGATAAGAACTAGGCAGGAGGAAAAGAAATGGTGTTTCTATCAGTGCTAAATATTAGCTTGCCAGTCTTCACTTTGAAACTTTTGTCTATGAACTTAATTAGGTTGAGTAACCAAGAATGAGACAAGACTGAATGTAAATTGTGATTTCAGAGGACATCCTTCTACAAAGTTGATAAATTTATAAGACTTCCTGTCCTTTTTCTCTCTTTTATGGGCAAGGAATCAAATGGCACTGAAGCAAAATCAAGATTAAATCTTTGAAACAAATCTTACCTGAAACATCTTCCTGGGTCCTCTGATTATAATATTTCAAAAAGGGCAATGGATTAGCATTATTACATATACTGTAACACTAGAGAATGAGGTGTCACTTTATAAATATAATACACATAATTTGATATAGAACCTAGAAAGGTTGCCAAGGTACAAGGATTGAGAATTAGGTTTGTAGGCAGAGAATGTATGTTCTGGTTTTGACTGAAACATATAATCTATATTAACTCAGGCTAATTTTATTAATTTATTCATATACATATTGCATGATAATTTATGATCTTTCCATATATTGTTTCATTAATTAATTTATCTATAACCAGTATCTTACTTAATTTTTTTTTTAGTTCACAATATGTTATTATCAGATCAGGGTAGCCTCTTTCTCTGTTCTTAATATAATACATCAAAACCCAGATTTCTAAATAATAAATTTGATGCTTTTATCTAAAAAAAATAGCCCATCAACAGCATAGAATAAAGACAAAATTCTGCCAGTAACCTTATCATTTTATCTGAGGACTTTAATTATTACTGTTTCACATGTGCTTTATGATAAACTATTTTTCTTCCTACTTACTACATGCCTATAATATTTAAATGGTGATACATATTACTAAACTTAAATGATTATTTTCACAAAATGATTCCATAAGTGTTCAAGAGAGGACTTCATAGTTACAATTATTTGGTTTTAATTCACAGCCAAGCTATATTATTTGCTGTGAATTAAAGCTAAAAATCCTTCTCCAAAATAATATATAATTTGTCCCTTAGTTTATGATGTTGTATTTTTAAGTAAAATTTTTATTTAAATTAATTAATGAAACAATATATGGAAAGATCATGAATAGATCATGCAGTATGTATATGAATAAATTAATGAAATTACCCTCAAAACCAGAAAAGTATACTTTTAAGCAATGTGAGTTGGGCCAAGAAACTATTCTAATTCAGTATTAATCTAGGTAGTAAATGTGGCAACAATAAACTGCATTTCAAGCATTTGATATAAGGATACACACACACACACACACACACACACACACACGCTAAATCCCTATTCTACCACTGAGCTACCCCACAGCCGTGAGATATACAAATTTAGGGTACTTTTGTTTTTATTGCCACTGCTGTTGGTTTCATTATAAATATTGTTGTTGTTCTAATTTTGCAATCCCTTACATGAACAACAGAAATTGCTCAAAGAAGGTGTATTTTAGAATTTACTAGCTTTAAATGCAACAACCAT